GCTGCCTGCATGGCAGAGCACCTGGGCTTATTTTTAACATTTTCAGAAAGTTATGAATTTAATTACATGCCTTATAAGGAGGCAAAAAAATACCAAGGGAACATGGGACGAATACTAAAAATACCTCGTTGTGAGAATCTTGTACAACGAAAACTTTCTTCTGCAAAGCTGGACATACCCATACCTCTGTGACTTACCAGCCCTAGCCTTCGAGTGGCCTTGAGGACACCCTGGCTGCCTGTGACCTAGCATCCTGATGACTTTTATCGAACTTGTCACCCACAGTGTCAGGTGCTGGCAGCATTTCTTTTATTGCCCTCTTGAGACAGGAACCATAGTCACAGGTTTCTGCTGTGCCTCTGGGCTGTTTGCTGGCAGACAATGGAGGGATATGACAGGGGAGGCCCCTGGAGTCCCTTTGGCTCTTGGCAAGTGCCTGAAGCTCTGAGTGGCACAGGCTGCCCTGGCAGTGCTAAGGGAGCAGCTCCCTTGGTCCTTTGGTGGCTCCCAAATTAGAGCTGCATCTAGTGGGGAGTACATGGGGGTTGGGGCTATTCATGGTCCCCTGCATGTCTAGGCCCCTAGAGCCCACTAGGCATCAAGTACGTAATCCACACCATAGAGGGGGAAGGGAGGAAGGGCCATCGATAAGCACCGTCTGTGTCTTCTCCAGCCTCTAGTGTAAAAGTGCAGGCTGTTCCATGGAGGACCCCAGATGCCATCTGGACAGCCTTCCCGGACACTATGCCCTCCAGGAGCTCACATGACCCTGTCCCATGTGGCCATCCACACAACCAGCCTGAGGCACAGGGTGCACCCTGGACCCCACCCACAGTGCTCTCAGATGGATAGACAGAAGGATGGACTCACTGAACAAGAAAGGATGTTTCAAAGCCTACCCACCTGCAGCCTCTCCCTACAAAGGTGGCATTTTCTGTTGGAATCCTTGGGTGCTTATGAATCTTGCGACTTTTGTGCAATGCAGATGAAACACTGTTGGTCTTAGGGATCACACAGGGAAGAGGGTCCACAGTATCTACTGAAACAGCTTCCCACTGTCAGAAGCCAGCAAGCAAACTGGCTCCTGTACATGGGAAAGAGAGCTGAGAAGGGAAAGTAGTGGATGGATACCACCCATGCCTCTTCCTGGTAGAAAAAGTTTCCAGGGAAAGATCTGTTGGGTCAGAGCTGAAACTTGCAAAGCCCCGGGCAGGTGAGACTCAGTCTTGTACCTCCCTTTGTAGACCTCCTATTCTCTCATCAACATTTCGAGATTTCCCTTCCTTAGTTTTGTGGCCAGTCTTCCCATATTCCACACCACTTTTTTGGCCCATTATCCTTAATTATGTCATGGGGATGCTTTAACACACTATGCCACAGCTATAGCTTTTGGTCCCCATTTCTGGCCGAGCAAAACAAGCTTGGGCAGAAACTGGAGGTTCATTCTCTTGGCACACACACCTAGATGGCAGAGAAGGGAAAATAGTAAATATTTCAGCCTTTGTGGCCCACGTGACTTAGCTCCACCTGCAGGGTCAAAGCAACCAGAGGCAGCAGTGAACGGTGACATGGCTGGCTGTTAGGGAGATTTAATTCACAGCAGCAGAAACAAAAGCCAAGATGCTGGGCCAGATCTGACCTGTGGGTGAGGATTAAGTGACCCGTGGAAGAGGTGCTGGCAGGTGGGCAGCAGTGGGAGTGCGTGTTAGCCTCCATCTCCCAGGGTGAGCAGGGACAGTGGAAGCTGTGTAGGCAGCAGGCACAGCAGCCGCCTGGGCTCTGGCTGCACACGCTGGTTGCTGTTCTTTGCAGAATTGCACAGAAGAATCAGACCATAAATGTTTTATTCTAGAGTTTTTTCGGGAAGCAGGTTCATGAAGGTCTGATTTACACCATGCGTGATGGAGTGGTAGCAAGTGATGAATAATACATACTCATTGCACTGCTCCTTGGGGTGATGACAGTGTCTTCTGGACTCATTAAAATTAAAATAAGATGTTCCTTCTCAGGTCTTCGTCTGTGCTGTGGTGTCACAGGAAGCAGCTCAGAGCACCCCTCCAGCCTTTCAGACCACAGATACCCCCCTTTTCCCTTCTAGTGACTCTAATGGGAAACTAGCACAGTCTGGCTCCCACCAGACTAGCGTTTGGTTACAACTCACCAATTCAGAACTGGGGGACTGTGGGTGCAGCGCCACAGCCAGAGCTGGTGCTCCCCATCAGGGATGGCTCGAGTTTCATACACCACCATCATGACTGAGCACTGGATCTTACTGACCAGCAGCTGCAGGGGTGTATGTCCACTTGGCCTGTGGGCCCTGTACCAGGGAGGGATGTGTGGACCAAGGCACCTGCCTGGCATGGCTCCCTGCACCAGGGAGCAGCATCACTGGCACCCTTTCCCTTCACTTTCACACCATGTGAGTTCCCAAGGTGGGGACCCTCTCCAACCCATGACCCTGCAGTGCTGGGTTCATGTTAAATGCCCTGGGCTGTGGTGGGAGCTTTAGGTCCTGTGGATTGCTTTAATCATTACTCTGAGGACCAGGCCACTGCATCTACGCAGCTCCACTGAACGTGTGTGTCCACCTACTCTGGCTGAATCCTAGCATGTGTCTGTTACGGGGTTACTTAAAGAGCACGATGCAGACCTACCTTATTACAGTCAGAGACCTCTCCTGGGAATGGACTGACAGCTCAGCTTCCTGGTAGACAGGGCTGATTGAGCTTTGAAGGTGGAGCAGAGATGTCTGTTGGGTGATTTGGAGGCAGGACAAACATCTGTCAAGGGCTTGGTTCCCAATTAATTCTATTCAAAAGCACCCAGAGCCCCTTCTCCTTTCTTGTTTTTATCACTGCCTGACTCCCTCACTCCTGCCACATCTTTGCTAATCCCTTGAGGCCTAGAATCCTTGAAAATTAAGCCATTAAAAATCAAAGCAGTGTCAGAGAGGTGGAGGGGGTAGCAGGAGGCCAGGCCCATATGTGGTCTGAACCCTTGAACCCTGGTGTCATAGTCAACAGATCTCAAACCACCCTTCTCTTACCCTGCACGTGCTGTTCTGTATGAGTATCTTAGGAAGAGGAGCAGTGGGTCAGGGCATGCAAGTTCATCCTGACAGCACCTGCAGTTTCTAATCACAGCTCTTTAGGGGCACAGCTGCTTTCTCCCCACAGTGGCTGCCAAGTGTGACCACCAGCTGGCTCCCCTCGGCCCATCAGCAGGCCCCAACACAGCTGGTTAGTAGGAGGACCCCAAGTTACTCCTCACCCGCACCTGCAGTCCCAAGATAAAGACCAAATCAGAAGGGGACAACTGGCCCTATGTGCTCAGGAGGCCACGGCTGCCCAATTCATTGCACTTTGAGTTTCACAACCCAGGGCAGAGCCCGGCTGGACACTGCCACCTGTGTAGCAGAACACCCCTCCATGCCCTCAATGGGGCTCCACACTGCCCTGCACGCAGGGAGGCCAGCTGCACAGACCTGTGCTCGCTGAGTGTCAGTTTTAGATAATGTTCCATCTTGACCTTTGGGAGGAAAATCATTTCCCCAAGTATGACTCTCTCCACTCCTCCCCTCCAGCTATCATGCCAGTTGCCAAGGGCCAGGGCTGTCTACTTGCCTGGAGAACCTGCAGGCAGCTAGCTCTCCCTTCCCTTTTCTCCCTTCCCTTCTCTGCCTGTCATAGCCCCTCACCCCCAGAGGAGGCATAGCACTGGCACCTTTCCCAGCTGGAGCCTCAGTGGCCAACCCCCACCTACCTGCTGCCACATAGCCCAGCCTGGCCCTGGTCACCTGGCTCCAGTATCTGCTGGAATTCCTATCCTATCCTTTATTGGGGGTCTACAAGGGATCCTCCAGGGACGGAGGAGACCACTGGCTCCCTAGCCTTGGAGGCTGATGCACTCTGCTGCAGCTCCCCATATCCTGTGAGGCTTCTTGGGGCTGCCTGAGCAGCCCCATAAACCAGGAGGCTCAGAGCAATAGGAAGTTGTTCTCTCACAGCTCTGGAGGCCAAAGCCTGAAATCCAAGTGTTGGCAGAGCTGGCTCCCTCCTGAGGGTGAGGTGGTCTGTGCAGTCCTCTCTTGTAACTTCTAGTGGCAGCCAGAAATTCTTGGCACCACACAGATACTTCGCACCCACATCCACTCTGCTGCTGTGTGGCCAGCCTCCCTCTGCATGCCTGTCCTCCCCTCTGTGTCTCATGAGGACACTCATCTTTAGATTTAGGGCTCTCTCTGAACAAGGATACTCTCTTCTCCTTGTTCTATCTATAAAGACCCCATTCCTGACAAGGCCACATCCCCAGATGCCAGAGGCTAGGACTTGACACAGGTCAACCCATAGTGCCATCTAATATTTTGAACAGGAAGCCAGGATGGCTGCCTGAGGGCAGGGCCAGGGAGAACAGGGGCTGGGTCATGATTATCTGTGCAAGAGTCTCCTTGGCAGGATCTTGGTGCTGCCCAGATCCTACCATTGGCCCTTAACTGCCTCCCCAGGGAGCCCTGCCCACACCTGGTGAGACCACTCCCCAGGTGAGCTCTGAGCACTTCAGGACCTGGTGGGGGTGGCTGTGCCTTGCAAACCCAGGCCCCTACAACCTACCTCTCTGTCCACTGCCAAAGGACCTGTTTTCTTTAGAGGTTATTCATCAGTTCCTGGGGACACCATTTTGGAATAAGCTCACAGCATGAAAGGTTTTGCATGAATGTCCATTTAATAAGAATAATTCATTGAAGTGCGAAGAATAAAATCAGCCTCCCCACATGACCTTCCCCGGATGCAGGCCGGGGGATGTTTCCCAGAGCTGCTAGGAAGGGGTTCCTGAAATCCCCTGTAGGGACATGTGTCCTTTGCCTCCAGGATCCCTCCTGTGGGCTGAAAAGATGTTTTAATAACCCAGACAAGCAAAACCTGCACGTTTTGGAGGCAATGGCCAGGCAGCCCCCAACAAGCCTCTTGTCCTCACTGCTGTCTCCTCTTGTCTGTTTCCAGGACTCCTCCACCTCGGCCGGATCTGCCCCCATGGCCATCCCGAGGGCTGCTGTCATGGCCGGAGAACAGGGCACGCCTCCCAAGGTCCAGCTGCCCCTCAACGTGTGAGCTGCCCTTCGTGTCTGCTGGGTCCCCCACCTGTGGTGCCTCCCTCCCACCCGCGCTAGCACACACGGGTGGTTTCTTAGGGCTCTTCCACCTCTTACTAGCCAGACAAGGTGTTAATGCAGGTCCTTTGATATCACTGTCCCCAGGATATTTCTTTTAAGCAGGGGAATGTTCAAAATACCTGGCAGCAGGCACCAGTCAGGAGAGGAGCCAGCCTCAGCTTGGAGCAGGCCCCAGCCCCCTTGAGCTGGTCTGGGGGTGGCCTTGGGAAGAGAAGAGGAGGGCAGAGCAGGAGTGGCCTGGGGATCTCAGGGGACAGTCACTAGTTACCAACAACTTAGAAGTAGCTCAGCACGTCAGCTACCGTCACAGATGTACCAGTGCCTGTCAGTTGCATCTTGTCCCTGAATATAGCCAGATGAGTCAGTGCTAGGAAGTGAGGTCTTTATCTTGTTTAGAAAATCTACTCAGTTAAATTATAGCTCTGAAAAGATACGTTTAGTTTAAAAATTCCCCATTTAAATAGTGTTCTGAAGAATTAGATCGCCTCTGCTCTTGTGTTTGGCAGAGTTGTCACTCGAACGGATGTTTTAAGGTGGAGCTTATGAATTTGGCAAGCAATACGGCGAATACAGAAGGTTCTACCTTTCAGAGGTCAGAGGGACACTCAGAGCCTGTGCTGTTGCAGAACGGGATGTAGGTCAAGGAAAAAAATTCTTTTTAAAAGCAATTTGCTAAGCCTCAAAAGGTCTCTTGGAAGTAGCTTAACTGCTACATGGCCACCCACCTCTTTAAGCCATGTGGAAACTTTAGCCTTTATCTGGAGTGGACAGCAGAGCTCCCAACATCCTCCACTGTGATTAACACCTTAACTAAAGGAATTTAAAATTTACCTATTTTTCACCAAGCTTTCTGGAGGGATCATAGTGAAAAAGGAGCTAAATTTCTGATGTCCTGAGGTGGATATTCAAGTTTTCATTAACACTGGGCAGAGATACTGTTCTCTGACCTTGTTTCTGGGTTAGCTCAGGCCACTTCACCCAAAGCTGGGGGATAGGTGTGCCAGGTTTTCTCTTCTTAAGAGCTAGGTGAGGATGCTAGCTGAGGAAGGGGTCCTGAGTCCTCAGTGCTGGCCCTGGTGGAACACTCCAGACAAAAGGCAGGACAGGGCCAGGGCGCCAAGGTCGTAAGCTCTTCAAGGCGAGGTCTGGATGTGTTCAGTGTTGGGGTCCTTTGACCAGCCAAATGTCTATGCATGGGCTGTCAGTAACTGTCGCTCAGTCTGCAAGACCCAAGGTTCCCCCTTCATGGGATGGGTAGAGCTCAGGGTCAGCCTCCCACTAGAAGGCCACTCTCTGTCTTAGAGACCCAGAAGGTAACACAGTTGTAAGAGTGTAACTGTTCTGAGTACATTTTGGAGGCTTCAGCTGTGGACAGGGCCCCATGTCCTGCATGCCTTTTGAATCTGCCAAGGGGGTTAGGGACAAGAACAAGGATGAAGAGTGACAAGGTCACTGTGACCCTAGCCCCCTATTCCCTTCATCTTGGCCTTACCCCCAGGGGTGGCTGTCTCCCTGTCTCCACTTAGCTTGAGATCTTCATCTAGGTAAAAGGTAAAGCAGACTTAGTTTTAGATACTGTGCTAAGGATGACAAGGATTTGGGTAGGAATGTGTCTGCAGGTGACACACTGCTTGTCTAAGCAGCAGAACCGTGGTCAGCATGAGTTCAGTGGTCAAGTTTTGTGGTTCTTCATACAGGCATGTGGTGAGTAACATCACATACATTACAGCAACATGCATGGTCCATTTTGAAAACGTGCCATCTTTAAATTGATCTCCAGGGATGAAAAGATCAGATTGACCTCTTCAGTTTATCCAGTGGGAGATTAGCCTGACCACCCCCCAATCCTTCTTAGCTCTAAGAAGCTAGTGGTCACATGGGAACCAGGGTCAGGTGCCAGGGGTATGATTGTCACTTATCTAATCATTCTTCCCCAAATCCCACCTATAAGTCATGTTCAAAGTCTTTACAAAGGCTCGGCACCTGTGGCTTAAGCGGCTAAGGCGCCAGCCACATACACCTAAGGTGGTGGGTTCGAATCCCCAGCCCGTGCCCGCCAAACAACAATGACGGCTGCAACCAAAAAATGGCCAGGCGTTGTGGCGGGCGCCTGTAGTCCCAGCTACTTGGGAGGCTGAGGCAGGAGACTCGCTTGAGCCCAGGAGTTGGAGGTTGCTGTGAGCATGATGCCATGGCACTCTACCCAGGGGGATAGCTTGAGACTCCTGTCTCAAAAAAAAAAAAAAAAAAAGTCTTTACAAAAACAATGGTAGCAACAAAAACTGCCCTTCTGCCTGCTGGGGAGTCTGTAGAGGATAATGGCGTCTCGGTGAGGGTCTAGACAGGTCATCTGTGAAGGTCAGCCATGGAGTGACTCAGCAGACCTGCCTCCACTATCCTCATCATGGCACGGCTTTGACCTCTGCAGGCCACATCATGTGCCCTGAGACACGAGCCCTCATGTCTGAGAGACCTGATCCTGCCCAGTCAGCCCAAGGTTGGTAGCAGGATGTCTGTTACTCTTTGCCCCTTTTATCATGTGAGAATCTACTGTGGCACACATTTCCTCATGGCTCGCTGTCCTGAAACACAGAAGGATGTCCATTTGGCCACCAATTGTGAGGCAGCTGCACATCTGCAGAGACGCCACCCACTCCTGCACCTTCCTCTCTACTCCCGCCACATTGGAAAGTCCATACTCTGTCCACCTGCTGTCAGCCCAAGGGCAGAAATGTGAGTGTCTGGTCTGAGAGGCTGTGCTCCTGGGCATAGCCATCCACCCAGAGGGTCTGAAGACCAATGAGAACACCCTGAGTGTGGTGCCTCTGACGTAGGAGGGTTCAGTTCTCACCTCCGCTTCTCAGCTACATCTCAGAGTCACTGGTGGGGATGAAACACCCTAAGAGGCAGAGAGCAGCATAGGGTCACCCAGTGGAGCTCCCCAAGATATCCATCAGCATCTCCAACAGATGGGCAGAGGAAGAAAAGACATATCTCAGTCTGTCTCCTGCCTAGGAGGTGCTGCCTTGGCCAGCATTGGATTTTGTCCCTGGAACTACGGGCAGCAGGACCTCTTGATTGTAAGAGCCTTACTCCAGGGACTGGCTATCAGCTGGCCATCAGAAAATGAAAACTGCCATGACATGTGACTACCCAGACACTGCTGGGGTGGGGGTGGGGGCTGGGAACTACAGAGGGAGAGGTTGACCTACAGATAGGGAAAGGGAAGCCCCAGGAAACAGCAGTCAGTGCCTTTTATCTGCCAGTGCTGGGGCTAAATGGGGGCCCTGGATCAGGTGGTTGACGTTGGTTATGTGAGATGTGTGCGATCTGTCCTCACTGGAAACAACTCCACAGCCTGGCCAAAAAGCCACTGAAACACTCTCAGTGACAACACAGACCCCATAGTATGGAATGCTGGGGAAGGATTGGTGACCAAACCAGGCCCAGTGCAGGAAAGGGATACCTTCCACCACATATTCATAAAACAGGCTGGCTCTGCACCCAGCCTATGGTGGCTGAGTTAGCTGGAGTTTAGCACAACAAGGCCCCATAAAATAAGTCCCCAGCAAGGTTGGGTCAAAGGCCCAAGATGGTGAGCCACAGGGCACCTGCCCCAGAAGTTGACTTGGAGGCCTACAGCCAGTTTACTCAGGCATTTCTACCCCAGTGGTCAGCCCAGTCTTGAAGTTGGCTTTTCCAGGCATTGGCAGTGCTATCTTCAGGGTATTAAGAAGATGTGATCAAGCCTGGGAACCTATGGAGGTCCCCACCTCTATTGCCTACCCCTTCCAGGCAGGTAGGAAAGAGGGAGAGATGAAAGTGGGAAGAACAAAGAATTACCTTGAGAGAATTCTGTAGATAGGGCATAGACCCTGGTGGGTAGAAGATGGATTCCCTTTGAGCCCCCTTAAAGGCCCCAGGAATGTAGTGGCAACAGCAGCAGAGACAGTATAGTCTAGGATGGGTTTCTTAGAAACAGAAGCTGAGATGCAGAGGTCTGTCATGGAGCTCCAGGACACTCTCTGCAGGAAGCGAGGTGCTGAGCTATGTGCTGAAGAGAAGTTGTGCTGGTCCTTGGGGCTCTGGAGCTGAGACAGCCTTTCAGAGGAAAATCCCAGCTGCAGTGAGGTAGGGCTGGTGCTATAACCAAGGGAAGTTCCCAGTGAGGACACCTGGTCCAGTGTGGGGCTTCAGCCCTGAATGCAAAAGATATACTGGCAAACCTCATTTTATTGTACTTTGCAGTTAATGTGTTTTTTACGAATTGAAGGTTTGTGGAAATCCAGCGTCAAGCAAGTCTAGTGGGGCTATTTTTCCAATAGTAAGTGCTCCCTTCCTCTCTGTGTGTCACATTTAGTAATTCCTATAATATTTGAGATTAGGAGGGAGGGGGCAGAGCAAGATGGTGGAATACAAACTTCCAATGACCATCCTCCTCACAAAACATCAAATTCAACAACTCTCTATGCAAGTAGTCACCTTTGGAAGAACCAGTAATCAGGTGAGCATTCAAACTACCTGATTTTAACATTATACCAAGGAAAGAGGCACTGAAGAGGGCAGAAATGACAGTCTTGCAGTGCCTACACCTCTTCTCCCATCCTCGCACAGCAACTTGTAGCACACCAGGTGGAGATAGAATCTGTGTGCCTGGGGAAGGGGTAGTGAAGTGATTGTGGGGCCTTGCATTGAAACTCAGGGCCTTCCTGGCACAGGGGGACACAGGGCAGGGCAGAATACTGCCAGTGCCTATGGAGAGAGCATTTAGGTCAGCCCAGCCAGAAAGAAATCTTCTGTTCTAAAGTCTAAGTTATGGCTGGCCCCTGCATTAGCTGACAAAAAGCAACCTGAGGCCTGGATTAAAATTATAAAACAGCCAAGCCACAAAGGCTGCAGTTCCTGGACAATACTTGCAGCTCTGCTGGCTCAAA